ATTCTGGGAGGTGGGTCATAGAGAATCCTGCTATGATTTATGTCAGAGAGTGTTTTGCCTATGTTCTCCTCTAGGAGTTTTATAGTTTCTGGTCTTACATTTAGATCTTTAATCCATTTTGAGTTTATTTTTGTGTATGGTGTTAGAAAGTGTTCTAGTTTCATTCTTAAAGAAGTGGTTGACCAGTTTTCCCAGCACCACTTGTTAAAGAGATTGTCTTTTCTCCACTGTATATTCTTGCCTCCTTTGTCAAAGATAAGGTGTCCATAGATGTGTGGATTTGTCTCTGGGTCTTTCTATTTTGTTCCACTGATCTATATTCCTGTCTTTGTGCCCATACCATACTGTCTTGATGACTGTAACTTTGTAGTAGAGTCTGAATTCAGGCAGGTTGATTCCTACAGTTCCAGTTCCATTCTTCTTTCTCAAAATTGCTTTGGCTACTTGAGGTTTTTTTTTTTTTTGTATTTCCATACAAACTGTGAAATTATTTGTTCTAGTTCTGTGAAAAATACTGTTGATAGCTTGATAGGTATTGCATTGAATCTATAGATTGCTTTGGGTAGTATACTCATTTTCACAATATTGATTCTTCCAATCCATGAACATGGTATATTTCTCCATCTATTTGTGTCATCTTTGATTTCTTTCATCAGGTTTCATAGTTTTCTATATATAGGTCTTTTGTTTCTTTAGGCAGATTTATTCCTAAGTATTTTATTATTTTTGTTGCAATGATGAATGGAATTGTTTCCTTAATTTCTCTTTCTGTTTTCTCATTGTTAGTGTATAGGAATGCAAGGGATTTCTGTGTGTTAATTTTATATCCTGCAACTTTGCTATGTTCATTGATTAGCTCTAGTACTTTTCTGGTGGAGTCTTTAGGGTTTTCTATGTAGAGGATCATGTCATCTGCAAACAGTGAGAGTTTTACTTCTTCTTTTCCAATCTGGATTCCTTTTATTTCTTTTTCTTCTCTGACTTCAGTGGCTAAAATTTCCAAAACTATGTTGAATAGTAGTGGTGAGAGTGGGCACCCTTGTCTTGTTCCTGACTTTAGGGGAAATGCCTTCAATTTTTCACCATTGAGGATACTGTATACTGTTGGTTTATCATATATGGCTTTTATTATGTTGAAGTATGTTCCTTCTATGCCTGCTTTCTGGAGGGCTTTTGTCATAAATGGATGTTGAATTTTGTCAAAGGCTTTCTCTGCATCTATTGAGATAATCATATGGTTTTTTTCTTTCAATTTGTTAATGTGGTGTATCACATTGATTTCAAATCCATAAGTTGTTTGAACTGCTTACACAGAGCCAGCTTACCACTTCCTACTTCCCACTCCAGTTCCATAACTATTGTTGAAGCTTCAATAAGCCACAACTTCCTAGGCTACATTTTCTTTTACTTAGATCTTTGAAAAGCATACAAATTGATATGAATTTTGAAGGAAGATGAGAAAACCACTTTCAAACTGAATACAGTCAATGTGAATACAATTTCACTTTTCTCCATGAAGTAGCCCTGAGGTCTCCCAGAGATCTGTGAATATTGTATTTAATCAGGGACTGGAATAGCATGGGATTATCAGTCTACTTTAGCAAAAATGTGATGTACCCCCATACTCTTGCTTGAGTGACTGGAACACCCCATTCTGGATAGACTTAATGACAGCATCAATTCTATTTAAAAAAAAAACTCTGGAAATGTCAATTCAACCTTATAACGTCAGGTTTATCATCCTATAATGAATAGATACTAATTACCAAGTTCTATATTATACTCTAAGCATCAAAAATATACCACAAATTGCCTCTTCTTTTCAGGTTTCACCAGCATTCCTTGGGAAGTCTGTGGCATAATGGTAAGAACACAAACCTTGGAGCTGGATAAACTAGATTTAAATTCCAACTCTGAAAATGAATGCTTCTGATATCTTAGCCAATTATTGTAAATAGAGTAGCAATACCTATCTCAATAGGGTTATTGTCACATAATGTATATAAAAACACCTGGCATAATACCATGTGCATAGTAATAATAATAATAGAACCATTAACTGAACACTTAATATGGGCTTATTGTACTAAGTACTTTATATGCATTATATAAATTAATATATCTAATACCATTTTGTTCATGATCCATCATAATTCTGGGTGTGAACATGGATGTACCACAATTTTGGAGTTGTGATGCCATTTATTGTCTTGAAACTGGATTCTCTCAGAAATATACACATATATATGTACCCTTAGGCAAATTTCCTACTCCCTATCTTTCCTTGACTATTAAATCTCCAGTTGCAACCCAAGTTCATCTCCTGGATCTGGAGGGCTCATCTTTGACACCTTACTCATGACATCACACTTCTGTTCATTATCACCAGATCTTTGAGAAATGATTCCATTTCTAATCCTGTTATAGCAAAATATACTAGGTAGTAAGGTTGCCTTACTACCTTCATTGGACTTCTCATGAGATATGTGTATTTCACAGTTACATCTCTATCAAGAATATTCCATTCTGCACCAGATTGGTTTTCACCTTTGTATCTTTCAATTCCAACTATGCCCACTGCTGTCTTCATTAGACATGACTACCAGACAAATATTGTAACAACACAAATATTCTTCAGCAAGCAACATTCTAGAATAAACAGTTCCAATTTGTGTCAAATTCCTGAAGAGCATGTAAATAGAGGTCTGAATTTGGACTCAGAAAATTAGATTATAAGTGCATGGACACAGTGATGGTTACATCTTGGTTTTTCTATCTGGCACTCACACTTCCTTTGAGAAATTGCTCCTCTTGCTCTTCAATTATGTGATTATGTGCTTCTTGTGAAGGAGTTGCTAGGTAGGCTAGTGCCCTATCTCACTGGCTCCAAGGTTGGCTTCTGATCCAGGCCCTTCCAAACAAAGTTCCATTCCTCTCACCACACCAACTGTTTTGAGTTGAGCATGTGACCAAGCTTAGCCAATTTAAGTCTTTCCTTGAGGTTTTCAGTTTTGAGCTAGAGAAAAAATGGTTGTGCTTTTTAGGTCATAAATCTAGAAGAAGAAATGAAGCTATAAGCCATTATCATCCTTGTCATGAGGTTAAAAACCTCCCTCATTAGAAGAGAATGAGGCCAACAAATAAAGAGAAGCAAAAGATAGAGATATCCCTGATTTGTCATTTGAGTGTATGGTCCAGATATTCTAGATCTACCTAAGATTTCCCAGTTATATGAGCCAATAATTTTCTTTTTCTCTTCAAGTGACTTTGATTTGGGGTTATGTCATTTGCAAATGTACTTTTGCATAACTTCCATTGTCTATCTGATTGCCTGGCTCTCTCCACACTTCAGATATACTCTGTGTTCCAGCAACTCCTTCTCCTTTTGTGTAAACAGGATGCCAAACTGTATCTGGCTCTGCCACTGGGTACCAATCCAGCAGTATTAGACTCCACTGGTAACTGAGCAGACATTTTGGAAGTAGCCATCTAGTCAATAAATTGCTTTTTAACATCAGGGTAGTGTGAAATAGAAGCAAATGGTGTTTATGATGAAACAATGGATCATCCTAATAGGGAACATATTACAAGAATGAGGAAATTCAGAGATGGGCAATACTCAAAACACAAAGATAAGAAGCTGATGTTGAGAGAAATATAATTTTCAGGTTTATTTAATGTCCTCTAGTTATCCTAGCTTTGACTATTTACCTACTTACTCTAGTTGTACCTAGTAACCCATAGTTATTCAAATGAGAACCGAGACATTAGAATTGAGTGGAATGTGTATTTCTGATCCTCTGGCTCACTCTAGTTATTCTAGTTTTCTGTAGTATATAGCTATTAGTTAGCTTGTTACTCGTTGACTTATATATATATATATATATATATATATATATATAATGCTTCTTATACATAATGCTTCTGTCTCTAGTTTTTGAAAGTTTTCACTCGTTCTAATAAACACAAAGAATGAAGAGGAAGGAGTTTTTTTGGCTTCTTGGTTTACTCTAGTTATTTCTAATGAACACTAGTTACATCTAGTTACCAACAGTTATTCCAGCAAGAATGAGAATTTAGAGTTGAGAGAATAAAGTATCATTCTGAGCCTCTTATATTACTCCCTGTTATTCTAGTCACCTAGTTAATTACTGGCTAACTTTCTCCTCTTTTTTTCTAGTTTTAAATAGTTCTAACTTATTCTAACAAGAAATAAGAAATTAGATTTGACAGGGTTTTTCTCCTTAGTTTGTTGGCTTCATCTAATTATCTCTAGTCACCTGTAGTTGACTAGAGATTATCTCTAGTCACCTCTATCTCTACCAAGTTGTCACTGGCTGTATCTACTTATCAATATTTGCTCACCAAGCTTGTTTACTTTTCTTAGGACACGAATTATCTTTTCCAGTCTTCTTTTGTATAAGTGGAGCCAGCTGACTGGTTCTTCCCTAGACAATGTGAGCAGAAGTGATGTGTTTCTTCTGAGCAGAAGCAGATAGCTAGTGGATGTGTTTTTTCCACACTCTTTCTTTCTTCTCCATGATGATCTTAGAGACCATGGGTTAAAGATGGTGGTGGTGTAAGATTGAAAGAGTGTGGGTCCCTGAATGGTTGGTTAGAACAAAGGCTCATCTGCCTCCTCCTGGTCACATTGGATTTTGACTTGAACGAAAAAAAAAAAAAAAAACTTTACTGAGTTAAGCCACCGATATCTTGAGGTTTGTTACAGTATTTAGCCTATCCTGAAAAATTCATCCTATCATTGTACTTATCATATACAATTATAAATTGCCTGTTTTATTTCTCTCTCTCCTCCATTAAGACTGTAAGTTCCTTGAGGTCAGGGCTGGTGTCTATTTATTTATTATTGTATCCCCGGTATTTAGTTCAGGGTTAATAATTACAATAATGGGTATATTATAAGAATATAAGAGTCCCACGCACGCCTCTCGGTCACCCGGTCGAGTCTCTCGGCCGCCCGGTCGAGTCTCTCCGCTTCCGTTGCGCATCGAGCAAGATGGCAGCCTCCGAGACGGTTAGGCTACGGCTTCAATTCGATTACCCGCCGCCCGGCGCCCCGCACTGCACGTCTTTCTGGCTTCTCATCGACCTGAACGGATGCCGAGTCGTCACGGACCTCATCAGTCTGATCCGCCAGCGCTTCGGCTTCAGTTCCGGGGCCTTCCTGGGCCTCTACTTGGAGGGGGCGCTCTTGCCCCCCGCCGAGAGCGCGCGCCTGGTACGAGACAACGACTGCCTCAGAGTTAAATTAGAAGAGAGAGGAGTTGCTGAGAGTCCTGTAACAGTTAGTAATGGGGATAGTACTCGTTTATTACCTAGAAAAGCAAAGAAGCGGGCATTTAAGTTGGACGAAGATGAAGAAACCGAACCGGATTACAGAAATTCAAAGAAGCATTGGAAGAGGCATGAGAACAGTAACAGTGAGAAGACCTTGGATCTAGACCCAAAAGCCGCCACAGAGCAGAGTGTGAGTAAAAAAAACAAGAGGAAGAACAAAGCCACGTGTGATGTGGTAGAGGTTGATGATGGAGAGACTGAAAAAAAATTGCCAAAGAAGAAGGAGAAACGTGAATATAAAAAGCATGCCAAGACTCCCAAGTCTTCTAAAGCACAGTCTGTGAAAGAGTGGACCATCCAGAAGTGCAGCCCTAAAGCTCTTCCTGCTAGAAACAGCCTTGTGAAAGCCAACCGGAAAGGTGGCACGGTCGTCCATACAAAAGACAGTCCAGATTCCTCCTCGGAGTCTGAGTCTTACCACGAGTCAACTAGTGATGGTGTCAGCAACGTCGTCTTGGAGGTCAGACATTCCTCACAGAAAATCTCGACTGACATGTCAAAGGACGGATCCTCTGTGAAAACCACAGCTGCAAACAAAGTGGCTCCAAAAACTGGTTTTACCTCTGCCCCTGTCAAGGGCAAGACCTCCAGAACATCATCTTCTAGTTCAGACTCTAGTTCAGAGTCAGACGATCAATGCGTGATGCCAAAGAGCACCCCCGAGTGTACTGCAGAGTTCTTAAAGACTGTAGGCCTCTTTGTAGGAAGAAATTGTCCAGGGCCATCATCACAGGTTCCAAACGCCACTGGATGGAAGCAGTCGGACCCAAACAGTGGCAGACAGGTCCTCTGTCCTCCTCCCAACGTGACTCTCCCCGCCAGTTTGGGAAGAGGTTGGGGTAGAGGAGAGGACCTTCTTTCCTGGAAAGGAGCGAGGGGGCGGGGTATGCGGGGGAGAGGTCGAGGTCGAGGGCATGCTCTTCCCTATGTTTTAAATAGAAACGCCGACTATCAGAAGCAACAACAGTTGAATGAAATGGTGACAAATTCATCTACCATTATCCAGAATCCCTTGTGTGTCCATAGAGACACACAAGAAGGACTACAGTCTCTTACCATTGTTAGCAGCTGCCCCTCAAGTTGGAGAAAAGATTGCATTTAAGCTTTTGGAACTAACATCCGATTATTCTTCTGATGTCTCTGACTACAAGGAAGGAAGAATATTAAGCCATAACCCGGAGACCGAGCAAGTAGACATAGAAATTCTTTCATCCTTACCTGCCATGAAAGAACTTGGGAAATTTGATTTGGTTTATCACAACGAAAATGGAGCTGAGGTAGTGGAGTATGCTGTGATGCAGGAGAAGAGGATAAGCGTTCTTTGGAGAGAGTTAATAGATCCAAGACTGATTATCGAATCTCCGAGTAACACATAAAGTGTGGAGCTTCCCCGAGTATGACCTCTCCACCTCGTGGTTTATAAATGTCTTATTTGTGAAAGTGACTATAACCTGAACTGTTTTTTTTTTTAAAGAAGATTTGTGAGTTGTATGCATTTTCGGTTATCTTCCATTTGCTGTATAGGAAAAAATCTACCTCATCATTTAAAAGAACATGGGTATTGCTTTTGTAGATCTTTTTTTTCCCCAGGCTTAATCTTAATAACAAAATTTACAACATGACATTCCTTCAGGCATCGTTTATAAAACAATATGTACGGTTTCTTCTCTTTTTTATTTTTTTCAACCATCAAGTAGCTATCGTCAGTAGGAGTTTGTAATACCAAATACAAGAAAGTGCTGTATATCTTGTCTCAGTAAGTTTTATTAAGTAACGTTTTAAAACATGAAAGCATGTTACTTGACTTAATTTTTTAAAATTTAAGTTGTTCCATTCAACGTGGAACATCTTATACATTTCAAGTATTTTATACTTGTAATTGTCGGGAGTTAACCAGTAGCTGGGTTTGTTACAGGCAATGAGTTAAGGAATCCTTTCGCACTTTTCTCAACTTTAAGATGAAGGATTCTCAGGGCCTGTGGAGATCAGTGAAAATAAGTCTGTGTGCCTGGGGAAGAACTGGGGCTCCATTCAAGGGGGAGGATTCACTGTGAGCTCAGGCCAGGGTGACCCACCCAGCCACTTGATCCCGGGTGCCTGGCTGAGTGTGCTGTGCTGGAGTGAGGGTCTTGAACAGAAACTTCCTTTTCTGTTGTTATTCAACACAAAGCTAAAAAGGCTGAAATATATACTGTGAAAATTGTTTTAACAAAACATCAGATCCCTCCTTTGGCTTTGCAGATTTTTAAATAAAATCATATTGAACTAAAAAAAAAAAAAAGAATATAAGAGTATAATAAACAAGTGTATATGTACTGACAGCATTCCTCTGTATTGTTTCACTAATAAGAATCACTCTTAATGAAAGAGGAGTTGCTAATTCTTAACCAATAGAGACTCAGTGCTTCTCCCTTAAGTTTTGACTGTAGGAAGGTAAAATTTGTAATGATTTTGATCTAAATGATGAGTTACAATGATCAACCCATGGCTTACTATCAGTGGATGTGAAGACACTTCTTCTACATAATTGAGTCACATTTTAAGTTGTTTGTAAGCAGCCAACAGAATTTTTCTAAAAAGCTGAATTTCTTTTATGAAGTCCATAGATGTCAGTATAACATAAAACAAATATACTGAAAAGTGTTTCATGGAGTATAAAGTGTGCATAGCAAAGATATTTTTAAATTCATGTATATGGGGTCTATAAAATTGCACTTGTGATTAGTCATTCTGGATAAAAATCCAACCAACCAACCAAACACAATTAGCTGAACTAATATTTGGTAATATGTAACCAAAAAAATTTATTTGAGAGACTTTCCCACTTTTACACGTTGAGCAATCATATATAGAAAATGAGCTTAATGTTTTTAAAATGTGTGTTTATAATCTTCAAGCAAATTTAACTGAAATCTCATCAATCTCTAGCACATGTGTTGAAATATGACAGGCATTTTCTAACCTGGTAGGAAAGAAACTTGCAGGGTTAGGCGGAAATGTTTTTCGTTGAGTCTTAGAAAAGGTTACTGAAAAGATTTCTGAGAAACTTCTAGAACATTCAGGCTATGCTACTTCCTGAATTGGTATGTCCAGTAGAAAAGGAAACTGAATCCAAAAGAAATGAAACAAAACAAAACTGGGGGTTATCTCAGGGTCTACTTCATGCCAAATAACCATTTTGCTTTTATTTTTCAACTATCCTTTTGGCTTTGTTTGATGCAACCTGAGTATGTGAGGTATTACAGCATGCCACAGGCACTGATTGATTCTGCTATAATTCAATACACTGGGTCTACTCATTTTTACAGTTCTGCACATATTCTTATAACAGATCTTCTGAGGAAAGTGCAGAGTGACAGGCAGCTATTGTGCTACTATTTATAAAAGACAATAAAGATAAGGTTGCAATTTTCCAAATGAAAGTTTTTAGTTATAATTGCGTATGTAGCACATTCTTTAACCCACTTACATAGAAGACATTGCCAATTACTTCTGAGAGTCAAATAGGGACAACTAGGTTCATATTCATACGCTAATAAGCATTGCATTATTTTAACCTGTTTTCTTTTTAATCTATGAAAATGAGAATTGAGCACTGGCAATGGAAACATTAAAGTAGTAATTACCTTCTGCCAAGTGCAGCTTTTCACATAAACACATTTCAGCTGGCAGGTATAGTAGTTATTTTTCAAAACTAAAATTTGGTAAATAAACCTCATTGTCTTTTGTAGAAATAGCCTTTAAAATACAGAATATCGAGTTACCTTAGAAACATCTCTAAGGAAAGTGGTTTGCTACAAATACGACAAACTTCCCATTTTTTATTTTTGAAAGTCTGCCTTCATAGAATATGCTAGAATCTCCCTTTCCTTTTTTTTCTTTTTGGAAAAAAACTCGAGCCGGATGAGGAGCAGGAAGTAGCCTCACATTTTCATTAATTGGCATTTGGTGTGAGACTCTGGAGAGATTGGGGAACGTGACTATTTTAGATGCTGAACATTAATTGCCAAAGGGCTCACAGACTATCTCTGTTGTGACATGAGTCTCTCACATTGAATATTCAACAACAGGCTAATGTTTGACATTTGTTAGGTGGGTTGGCTGATAATTAATAAAACTAAAGCCATAAAGAAAATTACTCCCTGACTTGCTTGAGGGGTAGATTTTACTTTACCAAGTATCAGGAACTAAACAATCATGAAATCCAAAGTCCCACCTTAATCAGGGTATTTTGTGCTGTTTAGGTCACACTGCACATTGATTATTTGGCATGTAATGTGGAGCCCCAGCTCATTACTGAGCATTAGCTCTCACACCTGCATCATGCCAATTTCACTGAGCCACCTGCCTGTCTGCTGCTTCTGCACAGCATTTAACATACTGAAAATCCTAGTTGAAATAAAGATGAGCATGCCACACATTGTGGTGAGATTTTCTTCGCAATCAAGGCTCATAGAGGGTAGAACTGTGAGTTCTTCACATACCTCCGTTCCTCATTTACCTGGCACAAAAGGCAACTGATTCTTATGCATACCAACTCACAGTGCAACCTTAGTTGGGTAAGTCACTTAACCTCTGTGTGCCTGAATTTCTTCCTCTGTCAAATGCCCGTATTAATGAACACCTGTTCCACAGGGTTGGTGTGCCTATCAAATGAGATAATGGTCATAAAAAGGCTTTGCAAATTGTACAGTGTTGTAAAAGTGCAACGTTTTAATAATAACAATCTGTTAAAAAATGGTGGTGGCTTTTGTTTCTGCTGCGGCCTTTTTGCCTTAGAGAAGCTAGACATTTGCCCTCTTGCCCTTTAAAAAATCAGAAATTCTGAAGCAATCTATCTGCCTACTCTGTGTTTATGAGGTTGTTCCAAGGTGAATTGCCGTTTAGCAAATTGCATAAGCTGCAACCACTAGTTCAAACCAGAAATAAGCTGGAAGGTGTGCTCTGTGGCATTTGAAGTCTGGTAAAATTTCTTTCTGTACAGGATAGGATAATGTGGTTAGAGCAGAACTTCATATGTAGATTCTACTCAATGTGCCACATAAGCAGAATAACCAAAGAAGCAAATCATGTTTTGAACCTAATAAGTAGTGCCAGTGAAAGAAAAAGGGTTACTTGTCACCTTTGCTTTTCCTCATGAAATAATCCTAGATATTTATCAATTCCATAATGAAAACCACATCACAGAAATCCTGTTAGTCAATGGGGTAATGACAAATATAGATTGTGTTATAAACCTTCTCCAGGGGATATCCCCAACCCAGGGATTGAACCCAGGACTCCCACATTGCAGGCGGATTCTTTACCAGTTGAACCACAAAGGAAGCCCCCAAAAAGCACTTAAGACTCTGCAACCCATGAAATCTCAACTTGCAACATATTGTTAGGTTTGCATGAAACTATTCCTTTGGAAAGCTGATCTTATTTATTGCCAGATGTTATGATTTCCCAGGTTTCCAAGTGAGCCTGCTGCCCTCAGAAATGTTCCTGTCCCCTAGTTGGCAGAAAGTCTGGATGTTCCCTTTTAGTTGAAGCTTCATTCTAGAATCTTAAGAATTTTATTAATACTCTTTAATCTCTGGGTCGGGAAGATCCCCTGAAGAAGGAAATGGCAACCCACTCCAGTATTCTTGCCTGGGAAATTCCATAGACAGAAGAGCCTGGTGGGCTATAGTCCATGGGGGTCTCAAACACTTGAACACAACTGAGCGACTGAGTACACACACACACAATAAATTTTTCTTATTGATGTATTCCAAGTACTTGTGTCTTATTCAATATTATAGAAAATGGAACTGTTATTTACAACTGAAAGTAAAAAAGATGATCTCCTGACAATTTAAGTGAAAAGAAGCGATCCTCTAGTCTAAGGGGCTGTAAACCCTTTCATGAGAGCAAGGTTGGATCATGAAAAAGCATTTGGGGAAAGAGAGCCTGAGGCAATTTCATTCATGGAAGGGGTGAAATTTGGGAAGCCTCACCTATTTCAGCATCAATATTTTCCCCTTGTAGACATATTCAAAAGAGATATTTTATGGTTGCTGTGACCTTGAAAAGACAGGATTGCACAGTTACACACACCTGTTACAATGGCACAGTCTTTAGAAGTTTGCTTCTATCAGACATCTGGCCAACTTGAAAGAATTTCAATCAAGACAAGGTTTACAAGGTAACATCGCGTGGACTCTCCTCTCTGAAGCCCCCCCCCTCCAATTTTTTAAATTTATTTACTTTAATTGGAGGCTAATTAGGAAAAGTTTGTTCAGTTTATCAGTTGCTTTTCAGGCCTATCTTAACTATACCTTAGAAATCAGTATGCAAGTTAAATTGTCGTTAAGCTGTTACTATACTGTCTTAGAAAGTGTGCGCTCTGTCTGTTCATTTCTGAAAGGAGACTTTTCTTCATCTTTAGAGTCACAGCTGGAGCATGACTAAAACCTAACACCAGCCAGGAAGCCTCCTGCTGTGTGCAGTTTCCTAGCTTTCAGCATAATTATGCAAATCCATCTTTGACATTAGAGAAAGGCCAAGGACAATGTCAGGCAAATGGTTATCCAATTTCCATTTAGCCCCATTTTAGGTATTCACAGAGCTGATGTTCAAGGGCTAAAATATGAACGTCATTTAAATGTTTAAGGGAGTTGCATTTTGGTTCCTGCTACAGCTGTTGGGGTGGGTCAATTAAAAGAAGAAAGTCATCTGCGCAGAGGCCTCTCCACTTCTAGCTCGTCAACCAGCAAAGAT